TGTGTCTGTAATGTTGCTTCTAAGAGGTGCTTCTTAAACTACATTGAAAAAATGTTAAATAAACATGTGCTTCATGTGGTAACATCTAAATTAATTGAATGTAATTCAAAAATATAAATGAACATCGCTGAATCAATTTAAACTAATCAACAAAACTAAACTGGTTTTAGAATGATAAAAGTTTTAGAAATAGCTTCTTAAGGTAACAAGGTTGCATTTTACAGTATACTAAAGTAGCTCAGAACTCTGTTTTTCAGCAATTATAAATGGCAAAATTAAAAAAGAAATTTAATGTCTGACGAGTAACAAAATCTTTCTCTGAGCACTTTATTTACAGTGGCGAATGTCAAATTATTGGCCTTTTGTTGCAAAGTCCCACCCATTTAATAACTCACCAAATCATAAAGAAAATTTAATGTAATATTATTATTATTAATAATAATAATATTACATTAAATTTTCTTTATGATTTGGTGAGTTATTAAATGGGTGGGACTTTGCAACAAAAGGCCAATAATTTGACATTCGCCACTGTAAATAAAGTGCTCAGAGATTTTGTGACTCGCCAGGCATTACATTTATTTGTTCATATTGTTTTTTTTTTTTTGTTTGTTTTGTTTACATTTGGAGTCCTGAGCTACTTTGGTACAATGTAAAATGCAACCTTGTTACCTTAAGGAGCTATTTCTAAAACGGAAATGTAGTTTTGTTAATTATTTTAGGTTGATTCAGGGATGGTAAATTACATTTTTTTACTTACAATCAATTCATTTAGATGTTACCACATGAAGCACATTTTTAATTTAACCCTGTTTTCAGGGTAGTTTAAGAAGCACCTCTTAGAAGCAACATTACAGACACAGACACATATATAAATGTGTGCTATAATCACACTTACACACAAATGCCTCCAAACATAAATGAGATCACGCTGCTCCATCCTTTTTCTCTCTCCCTCCCTTTTTCTCTCTTACAAACCCTCCTCCCTATCTCTCTCTCTCTCTCTCCTCCTGCCTACCTATCCTCTTCTACCCTTCTCTCTCTCCATCTCTCTCACCTCCAGCCAGTCTGCGTTGACTCTCCGCAAGAGGAAAATCACATCTCCAGCCTTCAGACTGAGCTCCAGGCGTCCGCTGCCGCTGAAGTCAAACACTGCCTAACACACACACACACACAGCGAGGACACGCAAGCGGGAAACACACACACACACACACCGACGGAGAGAAAAAGAGCGAAACACGTCCTGAGTGAGACCGAGCTGCAGGTAGGAGATACTCATTCTTTAAGAACTTTGAAGAGAGTGAATGAAAGGAAAAGATGGGAGTGTTGGATGAAATAGGATGAGAGGATGCTTGTAAGAAAAAAAGAAAACTACTATACAAAGTGGCAATAAGGGATTCAGGAGTGAAGATGCTATTCACAAGAAGTGAGAAGTGAAGAGATAAATGTTTTAATTGTACTTTTCTTTTTTTGACACCAGCTAAATAGTACTGTGGAAATGCTAAGTGTTTAAGGTTTTTTTTTTTTTAGTCTTGCACCATGGTAATTTCAGTGAATACCATGGTATTCTTCTAAGCATATTGTTTCAAAATATGTCCAATAACTGGTTATTGTAACAGTAATACGATGCTTTGCTGCACATGTGTGATTGCAAAATAATTTTAGAACATGTCATTTTAAAAATACCACAGTTTTACCATAGTACGGTACTATGACACATATATTGTACATGTACTATGAAAAAACTTGTATTTTGAACACACATCTTTGTATTCTTAGACATTTGCCATGACCTAAATGGGTTTGGATAGGTACAAAGATAATACCATGGTATTACCACGGTATTCTTTGAAGAACACCATGTTTAATTAACATGTCTAAATACCATGCTTTTTGAGATTATACTGAAATCTCTGAAAATCTCTGATACTTCAAAGTATTTCAAAGATTAAGACGGTGTTACCATTGTGTGTCCAGATACCATGTTTTTGAGCATGTACTATGATAAATATTATGTTGCATTTATATTGTAATCATTCACATGAATATATGAACTTTTGGACATATATTTTGAAACTTAGAACTAAGAATACCATGGTAATCAGTAAATTACCATGGTGGAAGTCCAAAAACAATAACAAAAAATACCAGAAAAATGTAGTATTTCCACATATGTTTTTAATATATATTAATTGAACCATGGTGCAAGTCCAAAAACAACTTGCACCATCATTTTTTAATATGATATTATATGTATGCATATGTATATATACATATATATTATAAAACACCAGAAGTCAATGGAAGGTCCCCAACATAATAGAAAAACAAATTCTGTGAAAAAAGTGCTGTTAAGTACAGGCTGTGTTAACACATCATAATTACAAAAAAAAAACAGAAAACAAAAAGAAAGTGATACAGAAGAATAAGTGGAAATGCGTAACAGAAGAGGAGAGTGTGATGTGCGTGATGAAGAGGAGTGATGTGTGATAGAGAGGTGAACAGTGCAGAGAACGTGTGTGTCCTTCAATGTCAATGTCAGTCCTTCAAGCTTAGTTAAATCAAAAGAAACCAAGGTCAATTACTGCAGCAAAGCTCCTGTGCATCTCAAGAGATGGAATGGAGCTCTCAATTACGATTTGTTCAAGTGCCAACTTTGTTTTAGGTGTTTCTTTTAAAATTTCTTCTGAAAATTACACACAAGAGGCATAGAGTAAGAATATAGAACTATACAAAAAAAAATATTTATATATATATAGTTAATTTTCTAACAATATTTTAATTTTATTATTTTATATATGTAATATATAAACTCAAATACGCACGCTGCTGCAATGCACTATGGCCACGGTTCGCTGTAGGGTATACTGGTGTTTCAAAGCTCTGTGTGTAGCTGTACGCTAACACACTTCTTGTATGTGTGCGGGTGTGTGAACAGAAAGATACAATTTGTGCCAAAACTCGATGTGAAAATCTCCACAAAGTCAACAGTACAGAGCAAGTATCTGAGCGCAGGCTCAGTAACATCAGATGAAGAAACTATTTCAGTACCACTGCTGCTGTGAAACCCTAAAAATGGCTTTTGGGTCATTTGTGTGGGCTAACTTTGTTATATAGTGCAGGAAAGTAACTCAGTGTAATAATTGGCTTCTTCAGCCACACCACGGTAAAGTTAAAATTAGACTATTTTAAGCGAATGGAATTTTGTTCCGATATTCCTTTTGAAAGAGGGCAGTACAAGTTA